TGTAAGTGTCAAAGATCCAGGGGGAAGGGGTGTAATGTATTGAGTTAAATTTATGAAACAGGTTGCTGAGATCTGTGCAAGAAGGTTAGCAGACCAGTGGCCTGCCAGCCAGACTTTCTGTCTACAAACTACTTAGTATGCATTTAAGCGGGAGAATACTGTGTTCCCATTGGCTGATGCCGCCCAAAACTGAATGTATAAATAGGGATGGAGCAATGCTTGTTAGTTTCTGTTTTGACCTTCAATAAAGAAGTACTTGTTTTCTACTGCTGCCTCTTCAATGCTGAACCAAGCAGAAAACAGAACAATGGCCCTGACTCTATTGGCCTTTTGTAAGGCCATGAAGACCTGGTTGTGTGACTGGACTCTGAAAAGTATGCGAAAAGTTTTTTTGTTGTAAGTCCTCCATTCTTAGAGAGTGATTACTGCTGAGAACTGATAATAGAAGACCTACTTTTTCTTCTCTTCTTATAACCAGAATATCAGAATAACAGACTTGGAAGGGACCTTGCAGGTTTTCTAGTCCACCCCCTGCTCAGGCAGGAAACCCTATAGCATTGAAGATAATTGGTTGTCCAATCTCTTTTTAAAAATTTCCAGTGTTGGAACAGCCCAACTTCTGGAGGCAAGTTCCACAGATTAATTGTTCTGTCAGGAAATTTCTCTTTAGTTCTAGGTTGCTTTTCTCCTTGGTTAGTTTCCATCCGTTGCTTCTTGTCTTGCCTTCTAGTGCTTTGGTAAATAAGTTGACCCCTTTTTTCTTTGTGGCAGCCCCTGAGATGCTGGAAAACTGCTATCATGTCCTCCCTCGTCCTTCTCTTCATTAAACTAGACATACCCAATTCTAGCAACCGTTCCTTATATGTTTTAGCCTCCAATTCCCTAATCATCTTTGTTGCTCTTTTCTGCACCTCTTTCTAGAGTCTCAACATCTTTTTTACATCATGGCAACCAAAACTGTGGTCTTACCAAGGCATTATAAAATAAAGTGTATTAACACTTTATATGATCTTGATTCTATCCTTCCGTTAATGCAGCCTAGAACTGTGTCAGCTTTTTTGGCAACTGCAGCACACTGTTGGGTCATATTTAAGTGATTGTTCACTAGGACTCCAAGATCCCTCTCGCAGTTACTATTCTTGAGCCAGGTACCACCTATTCTCTACCTGTGATTTGGTTTTTCTTGCCTAAATGTAGAATCTTACATTTTTCAACAATTGAATTTCATTTTGTTAGATAGAGCCCAATGTTCAAGTCTGTCAAGATCTTTCTGTATCTTTAACCTATCTTCTGAAAAACAGTGGAGAAAGAAGGGGGACTGAAAGCTTTCCCCTTTCACATTTGATCACCTACTAGAGTAAAAAAATATTTATATATGGCAATTTGATTTTTACTGATGAAATTGAATTCTCAGAATTTACCAGAAAACACTGCATTGGCCTATGCTGGAGAAAAATTGAGATAGGGCGAGATTTGCACACATCTTATATAAAGTTGATATTCACTCACATGATTTGAGCACACTGTGTCTCTCTACGAGGTACGTCTTTAAATGCAAAGATCCTTCACTGTTACAAAGTTCCTTATGTTCTCATCATATTGCCCACCATAATGCTCAGTGTTACATTAATAGCTGTGAACAGACTGTCTTCTCTAGCAAAAGTGTTGGCTGCTGTAATCAATTATCAGAACTTTTTGTTTTCAAATTACTGGTAATTTCCAGGAAATTTAATTTCTGATCATTTGCAATAATCTTTTACATAACTGCAGTGATTGTTTTGCAAAAATGCTAAGATGTTATGGAAAAGTGGAATAGATATAGAAATAAGATATAGAAATTCTGACTTTGTTAAATACCTGCTCCTATCAAAACATTCATTAATAGTATCTGCTTCTTAATTAAGCATCCTTAGTGCTGTGTCTTTAACATTCTTTTCTCATGTATTTATCTCAGTACAATTTCTTCTGCAATGCGAAGCTTGTAAGATCAGTCAGGTTATGTCCTGGTGTTACTTTTTAAACTGTTCTCCGGAAGGGTATTTTAATACTGTCTCTTGTATCACCTCTAAGTATAAGATTCTCATCCGTTAGGAGTTAAGTTAGCTTCCTTCAAGGCATCATATAATCTCAGAAAGTAAAGGAACATTCTTTGTGCAAGTTTCAGAGCAGGAAATTTAATGTCTGCCATCAGAACCATAGCAGGAAATAGACACAGCCAACTCACATTGCGTTACAGGGACCATTTAAGTTTGATGGAAGTCTGCTTTTTAAGAGTTGCCGTTCAACCCAATACTTGAACTTATTTGGAACATTTGGAAACTTGCTTTCTTCCTTACTGAATGATTTCCTTACTGACCATTCTGTGATTGTTCCCAGATGTGTGATACTGTACTTTTACTGTATTTATACAAATTATACAAGAAACTCATATGCTGTTCACAGTAAAGACATTTCCAAGGTTGCTTGATTAAAGCCAACAATGGTTGTTCCCCAATCTGCTCAACACTACTTTTTTCCAATCAGCTAGAAACAGAATTTAACACAGGTGGTCCTCAACTTATGACCATAATTAAAATTAGAATTCCCACTGCCAAGTGAGGTGAGTCACACCTGGTTTTATGACATTTTTTGCCATAGTTGTCAAACAAATCATTGCAATTGTTAAGGAAGTCACGCAGTCATTAAGCAAATCTGGCTTTCCTCACTGATTTTGCTTGTCAGGAGGTGGCTGGGAAAGTCACCCATTGTGATCACATGATCCCAGGCCACTGCAAACATTGTAAATACATGCTGATTACCAAGCACCCAAATTTTGATCAAGTATCTGTGTGGGTGCTGTGATGGTCATAAGTGCAAGGACTGATTGTAAATCACTTTTTCAGTGCCATTATAACTTCATACAGTCACTAAACAAATGGCGGAAGTTGAGGAGTGCCTGTAAAGATTTCATGTAACAGTATAATGCCATGCTATTTTGCAATGTCCAACTCATGATCAAGATCTATCTAAAAGATTTTCAGAATTTCAGCTCAGAGAGCTGCAATATTAATTAGTAGCTATCTACTTATAGCCTTTCTTTCTATTAGGTGAATAATTCCTGATTAATTAGCAAATAACAGTTTTAGAATGACAATTTAAACTTGGTTATCTCTTTACTCCTATTTTCAAAGCTGCCCAAAACATAGTATATATTATGTTAAGAATATATATAAAAACAGATATAGCTGAAGGACCTGACCTCCCTTATAATATCTGCAGAACGTTGAATAGGTTGAGAGTTGGAGTGCCTAAGTGTAAAACCAAGAAAAAAAAACTCTTTGAAAAAGATATGATCAAAAGATGTTTGAGCTAATGAGATATATTGTATTTATCACCTCATTTTTTTCCCCAAAATTTTATTTATAATACAGTTAAAAGAAACATTGGATATAACGCGACATTCCAGTATATACATTCTTATCAAATTATTCCACATTTTACAATCGATTCTTCATCTCTAAATATACATCTAAATTTTATATACAATACTTAATCTATTTCTCTATTTGCTAACCTAAATTACATATATTTCTATCTTAACGCTAGCCTCGAATCCCTCCAATTTATCACCTCATTTTGAGTATATGTGTTGATATGAATTTGAGGGTGTAATCAGTGGCCTTGGAAAGAGAAAATAGGGAGGAATAACATAATATGGATGTGAAAAGTCAAATGGTTAGCATGTATGAAAGGTTAAAAAGGTTAGAGTATTTACATCACTGGGATTTGGATATCGTGTTTATTATTAATTCTACATCAAATGACTATAAATGAGATGGCAAATCTATGATTTAAAAGCAATTTTAAAAGCAATCTTTAAAAGGAAATTCTTGCTTGTATAGGCAAATAGTTGCCTATTTTTGTTCCTGAGATGGCTACAGGGCTGTTCTGTTCCAGATCTTAGTTACCTGTGACCAAAGTTGAATGTTTGTGTGGCAATAAGGGCTTAAATCCTGTTCCTGCTGAAGTCACTGCATTGACATTCTTTTTCCTAGGGATGGTCTTGCTTTCAGTCTGAATCTCTGCCGCAAGGAAATTTTCATTGTGATATTATTTTTGCTTCCAACTGCATATGGACCCCTGCTACTAAAACACTGCCCATAACTTGGCGGGTGTCCTTGAGCCTCCATTTGTACAATATTGCCCAATATTCATAGCATCTACTTGCTTAGCAATTATTTATCTTCCACTATTTTAAAAACGAAGCTGTCCTTTTTACCTAAGGAAGATTTGAAAGGACACAATTAGCTAATAGGCTATGGCATTCAATAGCTGTGGTTTGTGAACAGAGGCACATTACATATGATATGGAAAGACCACAGGCAGCTGGGTAAAGCAGGATATGAGTAAAAGGGAGAGAGGGAAAGCAGCCTAGGTAATGGACCACAGGTGGGGCTGTCAAATGGCAGGATAGCCTAGCCTTGTTTTCCTCCTGCTTCTGTCCTTTCCTTCTCTTCCTTGGGAGGAATGACCTGAGTCATCTTGTTGCTGAAACCCAACACTACCTATGATGGCTCACAACAGCTGGAGAAACAGCAAAGTGCAAAACTCTCTCCAAGGCTGACTGCCTAGAGAAGGCAAGACACATACCACCACCTCCCCTCCCCCACAGAGTTCACTTTGTCATGTCTAAAGGAGGGAGAATTCCCTCTGCTACTAGAGGCCCTGTCTCTCTTCCAAACTGCCCTACATAGGCCTGGTTCATAAATTTAGCATCAATACAACATAATATTCACAAATATACAGTTGTTTACATCTTCAATGAACTTTACGGCCTTTACTGACTTCACACAAAATTTTCTTATGTGATAAGTCACTGTTACTCTGATTTCTTAGGTGATGAAAAGCCTTTCTCTTTCTACATAATATCTTGTTACTTGTTTCCTGTCCGTTGTACCAAAATTCAACGTTTTCTTTGTTTCTCATTAATCTTCTCTCCGTTGTTTTCTGACTCTGCATAGAATTGATCCAAGACCAGAATGCAAAGATGGCATCCACGCCCCACATCCCAGGTCCAGACTGCCTCCGCCCTTTTACCCGTGAGTCCCTTAAGGCTATAGAGAAACGGATTGCAGACCGGGAAGCTGAGAAATTGAAGAACCAACATGAGGTTCTTGATGAAGAAAAGCAGCCAAAGCCCCGCAGTGACTTGGAACAAGGAAAAAGCCTCCCGCTTATTTACGGAGACCCTCCTCCAGAACTCATTGGAGTTCCTCTGGAAGACTTGGATACATTTTACAGTGATCAGAAAGTAAGTAAGAAATGTTAAAGGGAAAGATATAATTCAGTAGTAAAAATGTGAAATGGTATTATGAAAGTTTTTTCTTGTCAGCCTCCCAAGTAGACCAGACAGGAAACATGAACAGAATTAAAGTATAGAGTATAAAGTAAAGAATTAATTCTACTTTATTGTAAAGCTGCATTAACAGAATCTTACAAGTGTCAAAATACAAATTTACCACTGTCTCTTTTTACTGCTTGATACATTAGGATGGATCTTTCTTTTCTCTGCCCATTACTCAGTTGTGGGCTCTCCCTGCTTTTTATCTGATCATTCCTGAGGCGGCATCTCTTTTCCTCATTTTTTAGAGTCATTTATTATATCCCCAGACGCACACTCTCCATATGTATATATATATATATATATATATATATATATATATATATATATATATATATATATATATATATATATATATATATATATATATATATATATATATATATATATATATATATATATATATATATATATATATATATATATTGGTCTACAGCTGTCATAATCTCAAGACATGAAATCACACACATTTGGAAAGCAGCAGCTTGGGGAGGGCTTTATTATGATAGTATGGCCCTATCACAATAATGAAGAAAAATATAACAAAGTATATGCCTCAGTCTCTGCTTTGTGACTATTTATCCCTGAGGTCAGTTCTTCAGGATGGAACAGACTAAGAAACCATAGAGTCCAATGTAACTTTTATTATAAAGATATAGTAACAGAATCTTGCAATGGTGAATGCCCTCCCTCCCTCCCTCCCTTTTATCTTCATTAGAATCTTGTCTCAGGTTATAGTTCTTCCCTGGTCTCAGGTTTCTTTCAGCTGCCTGTTTTCTTGGTAGCTGTGGTAAAACATGGGCCATCCTAGAGGACCCAAGAACTGCCCGTGCTGCCACACTCTGCACCAGCTAAAGCTTCTGAATGCTCATCAAGGATAGCCCCATGTAAAGTACATTGCAGTTGTCCAGACACGAATGACCAGGGCTTGAATGACTGAGTGCAGGAATTCCCATCCAGGAAAGACTGCAACTGGCACACAACACAAAGTAGTAGCCTGGGTGGGAAGGATAGACTGGGGAAATGGTGAAGGTTAATACAGTATATGTAGTTCAATAGCATTGCCACATTGCAATTAAGGAATTCTCATGATTTTTACATAGATTAAAATTTATATAAACATTTTAAATTTAAAATGTTTGAAGATCCAAAATTTCATGTTAACCATATCACATTTGTCAAGCTCAGTATTACCCCTACAATGTTGAACAATTGCCTGGACCGTAAAATTAAATAAAAAGGATCCAGTAGCCGGAACAGAAGCATTGGGCCAAGCAACCCCAGCCCCTAATAAGTTTATGTCCTCTCCACAGATGGTATTGATTTGCCATTTCTCAATCTAGTTTTTCGCACATCACTAAACCTCGACCACATAGCATAATTGTAACCAATCTTTCCATTACAGGTAATCCTGTAAACCATTACAGTTACGAAGGTATTGAAAAAAGTAACTTATGACCATTTTTCACATTTGTAATATTGCGGCATCTCTATGATCACATGATCAAAATTTGGATGCTTGGCAACTGACTCACATTTATGACAGTTGCAGTGTCACGAAGTCACGTGAACAGCTTTTTCAGCCTTCTGACAAATAAGGTCAATGGAGAAACCAGATTCACTTGACAACTATGTTACAACTTAAAAACTGCAGTGATTCACTTAACAACTGTGGCAAGAAAGATTGTAAAATGAGTCAAAACTCACTTAGCAATGGTCTTGCTTAGCAACAGAAATTTTGGACTCAGTTGTTGTAAGTCGAGGACTACCTGTATATTATTGCAATCACTTTATAAAGCCAAAATGAACAGAAATCAGCAATCCAAGATTGTACATCTGGGGTTGCACTATCTTGCACATAATCAAGAGTACCCTCTTTTTGGTGTTCTCAAATTATAAACTGCATTGATAGTTCAAAGCATTTAAATCAAAACAAGCAAGAGTGGAACTAGTTCAGATCATATGAGTAAATGTCTCCTCGCCATTTTGCACTCAAACAAAATTAAGTTGACAATTTTTTTTTTTAATTCTTTGGTATATTTTTGTCAAATTAGTCTTTTAAGATCATAAGAAAACTGACAGAAGTATAAAACTCTGGGAAAATGCCTAGATCAGATTACAAAATCAAGAAATATTTTAATTGAATGTACTGTTATATTTGCCCTTTTATGTGATTGAGATTCTTTTTGTAATAACTCAAATGATTTAAAAAGTTGATTTGGCAATCAACTGACTTAAATGATTAATACTCTACTTGTTCAGGATTCAAAATTAAAAACAAAGGATTTATCTTTATTTCAGACTGATATTATCCAGAATGAAAATTTATTATATGATTTTAGAATTAAATGATACTGCCATCCCAATATCTCCCAGTTGTGCCTTGTAGTTTTTAATACAGCAATAGAGATATGGCTAAAAATGGAGCCAAGCTGATACTATCACATAATAAATTTCTATCTGGGCCCATATGGTAGTGTTTCTTTTTAAATGTTCCACAAAGGTATTGAATTCAAAATATATGTCCTCTAATAAAGCTGAAAGCCAGGAAGGGCCCAAGTTCAGAAGAGGGTAATAGAGTTGATATAGGGACTTAAGGATAGTAAGAAGGAAGTAAAGATATTTATTTTGGGGTAAAGGAAATTGAAGGAAGGCATGATATCATTGTTCAAGCACATCAAAGATTGCTATATAGGGAAAAAAGTCAGGAGCAACTTTCTATTGCCACAGTAACCAGGACCAGAAATAACAGGTGCAAGTTGCAGATATTTAGATTTCACTTAAATATAAGAACACACTGCAGATAAAATAGGGGAACAGTCTAACTATGATACTTGTGGATTTTCCCTCTTTGGAGAAGCAGGACAGCCACTTCTTGAGAATAAGTTTGGTTTTCCTCCATAGTACAGAAAGTTAGACAAAACAGTTCCACAGTTCTGCAATTCTATCCTCCCCCCCCCCCCACAAATTCAGTAAGATTTCAGATATTTATAGCTACTTTTATCTGAGATTTTTTAAATAACATGTTTATATTTGCAAATGATAAACTATTTCAAGTTAATTATTTTCAGGTATTTAAAAGAATTCAAGCAAGAGTTAAAAAAAACAACTGAATGCAAATTTCCAAAGAAACATTACACATATAAACCTTTAGGATGTTTATAAGTTTATAAATTAATTAAATAACCTGATAACTTTCCATGTTACTACTATTTTTATATTGTCACCAATAATAGGTTTATTTGTTACCAATATTTTTACACCTCTTTACTTCAAATGGTTCTGTTTCAAAAGGCTTTGAACAGTCTGCAGTTTTATCTCATCTGAGGGTATGAATGTATTTCTAACTTACTACTCTAATATGCCACTGCGAATATATGTTTCAGACTACATACTTCCATTTACAATGGCTAAATACTGGTGGCATACTTTGATCATATCAGTAATATTTTTCTGTATTTTACTATCCTATATCCTGCTAATGTTACTGCTAATTATTCATGGCTGTTTATTAGATAAGATTCTACATCTAATTATTTCTTAGATGTTCCACCATCTATAATCTAGTGGATGCATTTAGTAGTGTTAAACCTCAGACCAGGACATTACCAAAATGTTGCACAATATTAATTGATGTTCATACACAATATACATAATTATCAATAAGGGATATCATTAATATATAAAAGCAATTTCTATAGATAATGAGAATATTCCATTTGTAATATACATAGTTTCAGAAATTTCCACTACAGCATATTAAAGACATTTCATCACAAAACAATCATCATGATTTAATTTTTCTGAATGTATAATATCCAGTGTTGTCATCTGCTTGGTGATCTATTATAAAATTTAATTTTGTAGGAAAGGTGATTGAAAATAATATTGTGCTGGAGTCAATGTCAATATTTTGGGTCATCATTTAAACAAGAAAATCAGCTGACAATCTGCACAATCAGGAAGAACTTTTTCAGCCCTCTAAATCAAACTTGTTATTTTTTTGTTCAGTTGCAGATGATTTGATATTATATAATTAAAAGCAATAATTGTTTATTATTATTGCTCTTCTGAGCTGAATCACTTTAATAGTAGAGATAATGTCACTTTGCCACTTGATTAATATTTTTCTTTTTTTCTTCAGACATACATCATCCTCAACAAAGGAAAAACCATATTCCGGTTCACTGCCACTTCAGCTCTCTACATGTTGGATCCATTCCACCTTATCCGGAATTGTGCTATCAAAGTGCTTATACATTCATATCCCACACAATGCTTGAGCTGGATATGGAGTGGTTCCACACTGGGTGGCGGTTTTGGGGACTTCTGGTCAGTAAAATATGGGATATCTGTGGCCAACCTTTACTACTGACGAAGCTGCCTAGATTTGTTGGAAGTTGTAGTTCATCAACATCTGTTTGGATCTGTTCTCTGCTGTGGCAGGTTCAAGTACCTAATTGAAGGAAAGCAGTTGCCAAGGTTATGGGTTTTTTTTAGGGAAAGCAGATGACTCAACATATAATCATAAGAATGTACACAAAAAGGGGGAAAATAAGGTACCCATAAAGTGGCATATATATGACCTGTATATAAGATATAAAAAGGGAAAGCAGAGGAAGGTATATGTGCGTGGGACAGTGGTGTTATAACAGATTTTGCAGAACATGCTGCTGAATAAAATGTCACATGATAAACAAGTGAAGTATAGCTTGCAAGCCCAATGATTCAGTCCTGGATGAGGAGGAAAACCTGGAAGTACATATTGGAGCAGTTTGTGAATACATGAAGAGATCAAGAGATCAGAGTATGTCCTATTTAAGGAATTTTAAATATCTGACAGTAAATCTTATGAGTTAAAGGCTTAAAAGTTTTGTTTTGTAGTATGACATCCAGGAGAACCCACAGATATTCCATTATGAGCTATTGAGATAAAAAAGTAAAAAAAGAAGTCAAAATAAGCACAAGACTAAGTAAGGAAGAATTGAGAAATTGAGAATTAAGAAGTATGAACACACATGCGCATGCACATACACCCCTCTCCACACATTTAATATACCTACTACATTTCATAAATATATTTTCTCTTGTATATTTAGCTCAAGCTATTACATTTTTGTAGGTATCCTAGTGGTTAGAATAAATTCCCTCTATTTGTTTAAGACAGAGTTGGGGAACTATGGCCCTTTTATGACTTGTGGACTTCAATTCCAACCAGCATGGCTGGTTCAGGAATTCTAGGAGTTGAAGTCCACAAGTCATTAAGGGGCCATAGTTCCCCACCCTGGTTTAAGTATTGTCTGTGTTTATATCTATATGAGCTCCTATCCTGACCCTCCCTCTGACATCTCTCTGTATATAGAACAGGCTGTCAATACATTTTATGTCTATAAATGACAAGGGTTTATTTTAATATTCACTTTGTCATATCATTTCCTTATCCAACATTGAATACCAGCTTAATTCCCCACCATTTTCATCTCATATTCCTATACCATTTCCCCCAATTTGTTGGCTTACATTTTACAAGGTAGTTATATTTTTACGGTTACTAATAACTTAACAGTTGCCCCCATCATCCTCTATAACATTACAAAAGACAGTTGTATTTTGGGATTCTGCTATGTGCAGCTATCAGGGAAAGCAAGAGGGGAATTCAAATAGCATGCTAAAGTTTTTTTTTTCATTGAACATAGCCTTGAACTACATTTCTAAACAACTTTTCTTTAACTTGAAAAGCTGATTGCTATCAGAAATGTTCGATTTTTTTAAAAAAGCACATGCCCAAAGCTTTGTTTATAGCTTTAGTTTAATTAGTTGAAATGTGACTTTTTGGACTCTGGCTGAAAGTGCTACTACTGTCCACAAAGAGTGTAGTTCTTAAGAAATAAGTATTTTGTGGGGAAGGGGTATTTTCAGTAGAGGTTTGAGGCATTTCCTTGACTTTGTATTCAAATTATTCAGTATGTTTATCATGATAACCATCTTAGCCAACTGTGTCTTCATGACTCTGAGTGACCCTCCAATATGGGCCAAGGATGTGGAGTAAGTGTTCTCTTTTTCCTTTCCATCTTTAATAATTTAATGCCTAGTCCTTACTGCTTAGAATGGGTGAAGAAGAATACTAATCCAGAAGGGCAAGAATTCACAAGAGAAAGTGAAACCCATGTGATTTGAATTCTAATCACCTTAACTTTTACCAACATTTACCCATATTTCAGATACCCAGTATCTGAACTCAGTTTGCATATGAGAGAAAAGACGATAAGGCAGATTTTCTTTCAAGCCTAGAATATCTTTGCATCTTTATGAAAGATTAATCTTGATAGAGTGTTGGAAAAAGAGCCACGTTCTTGGAAAGGACGCAGATACAATCTTTTGTAAAGGCTCTCAGTGTATTTTTAATGATAAACTTAACTATCTTGATGAAATGCATGTGCTATACAACTGAATGCAGATTTCAGCATCAGATTCACTATTTTTTCAATGCTTCAAGTGGCTCTCCAGTTTTCTATATTTTATCTATTAATTCAACATCTTATTAATATTTTAAAATATATTATAAATATAATTAAAATACTCAGTGTTGCAAAGGAGAGTGTATATATGTAGCATCAGTTTCTCAGTGTTTGTGCAACATGTTTCTGATGCACTTCGGGAAAGATATGATGATAGCAGGGGAGGTAGGATAAATATTTTTGGCCCTTTGTAGGCCTTTTTTGGGGTGGATAGTTCAGTAAACTAAGTGTATGAAGAAAGCCTAAGGCATCTATTTTGCTGATTATCTCTATTTTAACCAGTTCAAAAAAATGCCCCAACACTGGAAGTTTTTAAGAAGAGACTGGACAGCCATTTGTCCGAAATGGTATAGGGTTTCCTGCCTGAGTAGGGGGTTGGACTAGATCAGGGCTTTTCAACCAGTGGTATGGGCACCACCTGTGGTACATTGGCACCTGGCAGGTGCTATGCGACCATCCTAGAAAAGTGGTAGCAGGGGAGGGGAATGAGCTGAACCGGTGGCAGCACTGCACAAGCCTGAGCGAGAGATGGCTGGAGCTGCAGGGCTGTCAGGGCTCAGCAGAAGCGCCAGGATCAGGGTCGCTTTCCAGCTGATTGGTGCTTCTTCAGGACTGTCAGGGCTCAGTGGGAGTGCCAGGATCAGCACCAGGCTCCAGCTGGAGCTCGGCGCTGATCCTGGTGCTTCTGCTGAGCCCTGAAGAAGCACCAATCAGCTGGAATGTTGCAACATCTCCAGGGTCTTATGATTTACATTCAGATTCTTGGCAACTGATTCATATTTATGATGGTCACAGTGTCCTAGGGTCATGTGAAGTGACCAAAACCTGCTGCAACTACCCAGCAGGCAGAGGGAATAAAAACCAAACACCCCACCCCACCCCATCCCCGCTGCCAATCCTCAACAGAAATGCTCACAACAATGAAAACCTCAGACAGGAGGAAGAGCGCCGCCGGGCGGGCAGGCAGGCAGGTGTCTTGCTTGGCTGTGCCTTGGGGGGCACTTTTTTCAGTGCCATTGTAACTTTGAACAGTCACTAAGTGAACTGTTGTAAGTCGAGGACTACCTGTACTTTATCACTTTTTTCCTTTTTTTGGGGGGGGGGTCATCAAGGCAACTGGTGGGACTCAGATATTGCCATATCCTAAAAGTGGTACAATGGGTGAAAAGGTTGAAAAGCCCTGGACTAGATGACCTCCAAGGTCCCTTCCAACTTCTTCTTCTTCTTCTTCTTCTTCTTCTTCTTCTTCTTCTTCTTCTTCTTCTTCTTCTTCTTCTTCTTCTTCTTCTTCTTCTTCTTCTTCTTCTTCTTCTTATTATTATTATTATTATTATTATTATTATTATTATTATTATTATTTACCTCTAAATTTCTGCTGTCTCTAGAGCTTGTAGAAAAGTGTATAGCAGAAAGTCATGAAGTCCTGCTTTGTCCATTTTTTAATAGAAATTCTTTAGGTTTGATAGTTGAAGATCTACAAGTTAGAAGGCTTTCAAAACTGAAATTTTAACTGTGAAGTGGAATTACATCTAGGAAATAAATATCAACCAACTTTCTTCTGCTGTAAATTATTTGTAATTTTATCCTATTTTTGCTGCTTTTATTAAAGCTGGAATTTTATTTTGTCACCTTAAAAAAATCAGTGCTTGCTTGTTCACAGATATACCTTTACTGGCATTTATACTTTTGAGGCTTCGATCAAGGTACTTGCTCGGGGATTCTGTATTGACAGCTTTACATTCCTGCGAGATCCTTGGAATTGGCTGGATTTCAGTGTCATCGTCATGGCGTATGTTGCATTCTGCAAGTGTATTATGAAAATCAGCTATGGGAAATTGAATGGAAAAAACAATTCCTTGTTATACTGTATGGAGATAGCAATCCATGAAACCATAACTCTTAACTCCATCCCCAAAGTGTATTTTTTCAAGGAAGTATATCCTATTTCTCTGAGTTCAAGCAGAATTGACTAAGATAGCTTTATTTAGCTTAGTTCATGCCATTTTTTTTAATAGTCCCTGATTTTATAGTATTTTGCTTTTATAACTTTGAAACTTGTTTGTTCCCTTAGAGTTTTTAATTACAAATGAAATTTTTGAGAACTTATTAATTTTCAAGTTGAATCTGAAGAATAGGTCAGTGGTGGCGAATCTATGGCACGGGTGCCAGAGACGGCACTCAGAGCCCTCTCTGGGCACACGTGCCATTGCCCCAGCCTTGCCTCCCCCTGCGACCCCCTCCTCTCCAGCAGCCCCCCTGAAGGAGAGTCGCCCTTGAGCGTGGCCCACACGGAGTGGTGCAGCCAAGGACATGGCAGCCAGGCAGCGTAGATAAGACTCTGCTCTCACATCCCATCCTGCAGTTGATGCTGCAAGGCGCGGGCAGAGGGTGTGGCTGCCATAGCACTGCTGGGCTGCCTGGGCGATCTGCAGCAGGCCCTGGAGGCGGTGAGTGGTCCTGTGGGCAGGCGGGGCAGAGGATGGGGGGGCAGAGCAGGGGTGGGGCAGGGGGTGGAGCGGGGGCGGGGCCAGTTTTTGGGCACTCGGTCTCTAAAAGGTTCACCATCACTGGAATAGGTGAATTCTGAAATTCTTTGTTCCAACCAGCGACCAAACCTAAAATAAATGACTCAAGAGTGTATGAAATTAAACGCACATTTTCCAACAGGCAATTATAAAATGAACACGGTAGATATAAAGTCCAAATGTAATTTAAATTTGAATATGTCAATCCAGTATATATATCTATATCTACAAAAATATATGAAATATTTCAAAAACTTTCATATAATGAAAAATTCAGATAGGTTGGATTTTGCTTAATTAAGACAATTATGTAATGTAATATTATCAAAATATGCATTTATAAGTAAACAGTAAATAAATGTTTAAAGAGATATTCACATGTTTAGTTACACTTAGCCTGTAATTGTAGTAAGCAAGAAGGCATCCTTGAATTGTTTTACATTTGTTGAATAGTTATACTTAATGCAGGTCTATATGATTTCTTCAAAATAAATGATTAATGTAAAGTATTGCCCTGACTTTTTAAAATTTTATACATTCTGACATACACCCAACTGAATCTAATAGAAGCAGACTTATTTGCCTCATTAAAGTCTGCCTGTCTTATTTTAATAACAGGAATTACAAATAATATTTTCTAAGTAAAAGTTGTCTTTTTGCCTTTCTATCTCCAGTTCCATCTCTCTAGCTTGTTGATATTCCCTCTGTAAATTGTCTTTATATTAAAATCTTTCTGCCCTTTTTTTCCTAGTTATGTCACAGAGTTCGTAGACTTGGGCAATGTCTCTGCTCTACGGACATTCCGTGTTCTTCGAGCGCTTAAAACTATCACAGTCATTCCAGGTACATAACGGAGATGACAAGGCTAAAGATGATTTAGGAATTTTACTTTTTCATACAGATCAGTTAGACTAGTAGGAGAGTGAACCAGGGAGTCTGTAATTAATATTATAGTAAAAAGAAGAATTTTGGTTGCCTCTAAAAAAAATAATAATATAATTATGGTACTGAAGGCAAAGTGAATTTATTCTGTATAGTCATCATCTGGAATTATGCAAATTAAATTAATTTAAAGCACATCAAAAATTACTTGACATAGCTCAGGGATAGGCAGCCTCGGCTCTTTTATGACTCATGGACTTCAACTCCCAGAATTCCTGAGTCAGCTATGCTGACTCAGGAATTCTGGGAGTTGAAGTCCATGAGTCATAAAAGAGCAGAGGTTGCTTACCCCTGAATAGCTTATGTAACTATCCTTTCTATTCTTTTCAAAATGTCTCTTCTTGAAATATTTTTGCTAACAAATATAATTCATAAAATAATATTTTTTTTAAAAAAATGAAATTGGTAGAAAATCTATTTTATTGCTTAAACAAATGGAAATTTCTGTTCTCTCTCTTCTCTGACTCCGCCCCCCAAAAGGTCTAAAAACAATTGTGGGAGCTTTGATCCAGTCTGTGAAGAAGCTCTCTGATGTGATGATCCTTACTGTGTTCTGTTTGGCGGTCTTTGCCCTCATTGGCCTGCAACTGTTCATGGGGAACTTGCGACACAAGTGTGTTCGATGGCCACCTTTTTCCAATGACACCCTGCAGGATGCCTTAGGGCCATCCTTCACTAATGACTCCCTTCAGGATGTCTTATGGAGGGATCCATTTGATAACAGCACTCTGAATGACAATTTTACTCTCACTGGGAATGATACCTTTGACTGGGATGAGTACATTAACAATAAAGGTAAGACTATTTCATTCAAGAAATCTACAATTTTAATGAATAAAAAAATTGAAATAAATTCAGTTATCAAAGATAAAAATGAAAAACCAAAATAGTGAGGAAATGAGAGCGGAGAGAAAAAACAAAAGCAAACTCTCTCTCTCTCTCTCTCTCTCTCTCTCTCTCTCTCTCTCTCTCTCTCTCTCTCTCTCTGTGTGTGTGTGTGTGTGTGTGTGTGTGTGTGAGAGAGAGAGAGAGAGAGAGAGAGAGAGAGAGAGAGAGAGAGAGAGAGAGAGAGGAAGCACATACAGACATATATATGAATACATATTTTAAGAAGGTTTATTTAACTGTTCTGAAAAGTAATCAGGAGAAACATAACTAAGTAATAAAGACCAAATCTGAATAATTCACTAATAATTTAGCTAATGCTAAAAATACATTAATATAATTTGTTCACCAGTTTTTTACAAGAGCAAATTTGGCAACTGACAACAAAAATTAAATTATTTCCCATGCTGAGCAAATTTGCAAATTTTGTGAAACACGGACAATATTTCAAAACAAATCATTAAGTATTAATCATTAAGTAATTGTTAAGTTATTCATTTATTTATAAATCAAATTTATAAGTGGGCCTAATCATAACAACCCTTTCTGACTTTTCCTCAATACAACATTTGGTCAAAATGACTATATGAACATTGTCATAACGATGGTAATGGTATGATCAATTTCAATTAATGCCGCCTGGGACAATCTTAATAAGTCACTTTTTGATGACTGTAAGAAAGGTTTATGAATTTGTTCAGCTCTGCCATCTCAAAAAATTCCAATATGCATTTAATCTCTATGTGAATTAGATTCATTTTCTAAAGAACATGGACTTAACAAAATCCTGGAATATCCCTAATTATTAAACACAAATTTAATTCCCTTGCAAATACAGTAAAACACCCCTATGTTATCAATGATCTGCTCTGCCTCTAATGCCAATTTTGGAATGGAAGAAGAGATGTACAGTTCTTTTCTTTAGTATTTCACTCCCACTCCCACCTCCATCCTTTCAATGTTAGCATTTAAGGTGGCAAATCAAACTTTGACCACTGTGTGAAAGATCAGGATCAGAATTTTCATGGAACTTCTTCTCACCAGTCCCTAAATCAAACAGAAATCAAGTGAAAGTTTTCTCTTAAGACTAATTGTTGTTTTTCCTTCTCCTTTGCTATTTTATGTACCCACAAATTCTCATATACACTTCCAATTTTCTAATATATAAGTCACTAAATTACTTTAGATTTTCATATTCAGTTTTGATTTTATTCAATTCTTTTGCACTCAATTTCTAATCTTTCTCCAATGGAAGTTAGATTGCCATGACAAAATCACTCTCCATTTTAAAAGAATCCTATAAAACAGGTAAAACAAACAAAAAAATTTTTTTTACTCAAAGTAGTGACTTTCATGATTATAGAAGAAAGGAAATATGATCGGTTCTTTATCACACAGATTCCCATTAAGTATCTTATTGTAGTTGCAGCTATATGAGATCCAAGAGAATTTTCATTTGAGTGAAATTTTATTTTACTTTTAGTTAAAGCAGCTATAGGGAGGGGATTAATTTGTGATAGTATAGTAGGTATATGTTTAATCTCAAGGCTAAAATAAATATATATTCTCATTTTTCAATGTCATGGCCATGGTTCAACTTGATTAATTCCTATTCATAGCATCTGCATAGATGTTTTACTTTCTGCTTACAAGTCTGGCTCATAATTCATAATTCATAATTTCTTTGGGTATTCCTCTGACAATTTTTAAATGAAGGTGAAATTGCTCCAAAGTCAATTTTCATTCCTGCTTTTTTAAATGCTTTTTTTTTTTGTGTGTGTGTTTGCTCATGAAGACAATTTCTATTTCCTCGATGGTGCACTTGATGCTTTGCTCTGTGGGAACAGCTCTGATGCTGGGTGAGTAAGGTCTCTCACAATGATTGAATCTTTTATAGAATGAGGAGAGGGCTTTATGTCTAAGAAAAGAATATGAGATCCAGTTTGTTGCAGGGAAAAGGTGATGGCCTAGCAACCAGGAGACTCTGAGTTCTAGGTCTCACTTAGGCATGAAAGCCAGATGAGTGACTTTGCACCAGTCATTCTCTCTCAGCCCAACTTTCCTCATAGGATTGTTGCTGTGAGAAAAAGAGAAGGCAGGAGCATTAGGAATGTTCACCACCCTGAGTTATATATTAAAAGGTAGAATAAAAACTAGTACTAATAATGGCTCCTAGCAACTCTCTAATTTCTGATCCTCTTGAATATATATATTTCTGGTTTCCCAAAGAATCCATAAAACTGACAAGAACATATTGTAAAAATAATTTCAAACAATTGAGTTTTGGAATTAATTGCTAGGAAAAGCTATATACAATATGATAATTGTCAGGTCATTGTACAATACTAGAAAGCAGAAATGTATAATAATGAGTCTAATCTATAACTAGAGACAAGAATGGTTATGGTAACTATCTAGATTATGTCTTAGATTTAGGAAGATAATGCTTCTCTTATAATATGATAATATTATATTGGATTTTTTTTGTATAATCCACCGTAGACAATGTCCGGAAGGATTTTTGTGCATGAAAGCTGGTCAAAACCCAAATTATGGCTATACAAGCTATGACACATTCAGCTGGGCATTCCTTTCACTCTTTCGCCTCATGACTCAGGACTATTGGGAGAATCTCTTCCAGTTGGTAAGTTTTTATAATATTACTGTTGCAGGAACTTCCTTTTATTTTTTTCCTTTTATTTGTTCCCCAGCATTTTTGCCAATGTTTATGAAAGCTTTTGATCATATGATGGGACTGCTTTTATTTTACCAGATGAAATAAACTCCAACTAGAGAAGACACTGAAGACATTGGTCCAGATATTCTGTCTTTTAAACTTTTCTAAACATGTATGGAATACATGCAGGTGTAAGGGTGGAAAGACTTCTTCTTCCCATGCTATTTTTCCAGTTAAAATTTCTCCCACATGGACTTGTATGTGGACCCCTCTTAATTTTCCTTAATAGGAGAAATAATGGGAACCAGATAAGGAAAACAGAGTACAGGGACTCAGCACCAGTTCAGATTCCTCTCCTTTGATTGTTTTACAAAAAGATGGAGAAGTGGGAGCTCCACTAAGAAGATATGAATGTAAGGATCTAATTGGGTCAATTCAAAGTCTGTTTCTGTATCTGCTTCTTTTCCATAATGACCACCAACCCTCACTTTATTTAGTTTGATCCTAAGTCTCAGAATTCGATTTCAAAATGCCAAGCAATATGTGAAGTATAACACAGAGGCTTTGAATATGTTCAAAGTACATTGCTTAGACTAATAAGCAACTTTTTTTACTGTGGGCACACTGGCTTAACAAGGTTAATATTATATGGAACAAAACTGTGACTGAATCTGGATGTTCTCTTTCGGATATCACGAAGCCTCTTCCCAGAAGGTAACAAGGAAAACAGGTTGTGAAGAGAATGTATAGTGTCCCAGACAATCCTGTGGACCCTGCTCAAGCATCGCTTATATGCCATGTCCTGGATAGAAGGAACTGCCAATAATCTTTCCTGCCATTCTCACCACTCTCTGCACCACCTTCCTGTCTGAAGCAGTAATGCTTCCAAACTAGGCAGTAATACAATATGATAGGATGCTCTCAATCGTCCCTCTGTAGAAAGTGGTAAGGACAGGGGAAGGAAGATGTACTTTTCTTTTTCTTTTTTTATAGAGTTTTATTGAATTTTATAAAGTTAGGGAAGGGGTGGGATCAGTATGGGAATTGGGGTTCAAGGTAGGAGTCAGGGTTGGATTGGAACAGGGATAGGAACAACAATAGGGTTACCCCCCATTAACATTTTCAAGCTTTAGCAAATAGACTATTGTCCGGGTACATATGTTCAATAGCAGTAATTAATATACTAGTGAATAGCTATAGTAAATATGAGAAACAATAACCATAAACAGTATCAGTTAATCAATACATATCCTTGATCTTATTAAAATATATTCGTTATTAAATATCATAATCATTTCTCACTAGTTCGTTTTGCTAACCATTGGTAAAAGTTATCCCATGTTTTAAAGTAAATGGAGTCTTCTTTCTCTTTAATCTCTAGGGCTAATCTGTCAATTTCTGCACATTCTAAAATTTTCTTAATTATGATCTCTTTAGATGGTAGAGTTTCATTTTTCCAATATTGGGCAAATACTATTCTCGGTGCTGTCAATATATGCAATATTAAATACTCATTCTCCTTCTCATCCTTGGCTCCTAGTATTCCTAACATAAACAATTCTGGTTTAAATTCTATCTGTATTTTAGTCATCTTTTCCAACCATGTATGAATCTTAAGCCAAAACTTTTTCACACCAGGGCATACCCATGAGATATGATAGTAGGTACCTGACTTTTGTTTGCATTTCCAACAGTTGTTCGAAATGTTTTTAAACATTTTCGCTAATCTTACTGGTGTCATGTGCTATCTATAAAACATTTTATACAAATTTTCTTTATATGAAGCTGTTTTAGTCAGTTTAATGTTTCTATCCCATAACTTTTGCCAATCTTCTAAGTCTATAAAATATCCAAAGTTTTTTGCCCATACCATATTATCATCGTTTCTTTTACTTGTTCTTCTTCCATCTTCAAATTTAGAAGAAATCTGTAAAGTTTCTTAATCAAGTTTTCGTCTGTTTTTAAGAGTATCTGATCAAATTCTATCTGTTCTTTATAAAATCCCATTGTCTTTACATCTTTTTCATATCTTGTTTGAATTTAAAAATAAGGCCACATGCTAAGTCAATACCTTATTGTTGTAAGTCTTGCCTATCTTTCAGTTTTCCGTCTTTGTCCAAAATATCTTTGTAAGTGACGACTTTGTCGTAGTTAATTAAATTTGGGTAAGCAAAAGCTTCCATTGTTGAAAGCCACTCAGGTAGTTTAATATATTTTTTTTGTTTTATTCTTTCCCATTCTAAAAACAGTGTATTCCTTATAGCCTGGTTTTGGAAATATCTGTATGTTTTATTTTCCCCGTACCATAGAAAGGCATGCCAACCCATTTGTAGGTCATGCCCCTCTAGGTACAGTAACCTTTTATTTCTCAGCGTTATCCATTCTTTAAACCATGGTAAAATAGCTGCTTGATAATATAGTCTCCAGTCGGGGAGGCCAAATCCTCCACTGTCTTTAGCTTCTTGTAACATTTTCACTTTAATTCATGCTTTCTTCCCTTGCCAAATAAATCTCAATATTGTTGCATTTAGGTCATCAAAAAAGACCTTTCCCAATTTTACAGGAATTGTTTGGAATAAGAAGAGTAATTTCGGCAGGACACTCATTTTCACTTTGGCTATTCTTCCTAGCAATGACAGTTGGAGATTTTTCCACTTTTCCAAGTCTAGTTATATTTGTTTCAACAGTCTTTCATAGTTGTCTTCTTTTAATGTTGTACATCTTGCTGTTAAGTAAATTCCTAAATATTTAACTTTTTTGACTATTTGCAGATTTGTCTTTTTTGTGAATTGGGTTTTCTGTTTGTCTGTTAGATTTTTTGTTAATACCTTAGTCTTTTCTCTATTTATTTTCAAACCAGCCACTTCTCCAAACTTTTCTATTTTCGCCAACAATTTAGTGGCTGTTTCTAGTGGCTCCTTCAGAATGAAGACCAAATCATCTGCAAAAGCTTGTAATTTATATTTTTGTTCTTTTATCTCCAGTCCTTTAATTTCCATGTCCTACCTAATATTTCTAGCCAATACTTCCAATGTTAGATAGATAGATAGATAGATAATTTAATTTGTATACCGCCCTTCTCCCATAGGACTCAGGGCGGTTCACAGCATATTAAAAACAAATAATATACACACAATACAAAAAATGCAAAATACAAAAATACAGAAATACAAAAAATAAACCCCGATAAAAGCCGAATTAAAACCAAATATTACCAGCTGTGTTTCCAATNGACGGCACCCTGAGGAGGCCCGCTCTGTGGGAGCGTACCGGTCTATGGGAGGGAATCTGTGGCAGAAGGCGGTCTCGGAGGTAGCCAGGTCCGATGCCATGGATCGCTTTAAAGGTGGTAACTAACACCTTAAAGCGCACCCGGAAGACCACTGGTAACCAGTGCAGCTCGCGCAGCAGCGGTGTCACATGGGAGCGATAAATAGCAGTGGGGATAATGGACATCCCTGTCTTGTATCTTTTTTGATGTCAAAGCTTTCTGTATAATCTCTATTTAACATTATTCTGGCTGTTTATTTATGGTAAATTGCTTGGATTGCATTTATAAAGTTTTTCCCATGCAACGCAGAAAATGCAGGTGCTGCCATGCCGGCTTCATCAGTGTCTCACTGTTGAGCAACCAAGCCAGCTTACTCATTAGCTGCACATCCAGAAATTTGATGCTGCTAACCAGCTCCACAGGTGAATCATTAATATATAGAGGAGGTGGCTGTGCCTGCCTTGTCTGAAATTGACAATGATCTCTTTAGTTTTTCCAATATTTAAATCTAGGCTGTTTTTCTTACACCAGTTCACCAAACTCTCTACCTCCTTGTGGTAAGCACCCTCATTGTCATCTTTTTTTTATTTTATTTTTAAACAAATTTTATTGGTTTTTTAATTTCTTAAAACATAGTATTCAGGACACACGGTGGTGCTGGGGTAATCAAACATCCTAGAACAAAACATATATACATAGTACAATCAATACATCAAATATTCCCTCTCTTTTTCCCTTAAATAGCATAGTATATTTAAAATGTCCAATTCTAGCTTAAATTTATTAAACCTGAACCTGTTTTAAAGCTTTATAAATTTACCATACCGTAATTAAATTAACTTTAAATAAAGACATTTTATCCCTTCAAGTATGTTCTACTTTCTTAATTTTATCAAAATCTTATTTATTTCTTCTTCCACTAATCTCCCCTATTTAAAGTAAAATATTAATCTATCCTATACCTATCTAATCGATCAATTAATCAATCTCTTTAAGCTGACAAGATAATATCAGACCTTAAATCCTTTCAATCCATTAAACAAAATTCAAATCTCATCCAGTTAATTATCATAACTAATAACATCCATATCATCAAAGAACCACATCATCTTATTAAATTTCAATTAATTAATAATTCAATTCAAATCTAAAACATCTCTTCAATTTTCTTCATTCCATTACATAATAATTTTCATACAAATGAACCTAACATTCTAAAAAAATACATTCTTAATATTCTATTCTATATTCTAAAAATATCTCATTTTTAAACAAAAATATTGATCTATCCTAAACATATCTAAATGTATATATCTATCTATTCTATACATGTCTAATCCATCAATTAATCAATCTCTTTAAGCTGACGGAATAGTATCAGATCTTAAATCATTTCAATCCATTGAGCAGAATTCAAATTTCATCCAGTTAGTTATCATAGCTAAACATCCATATTATAAAACAAACAAGTCATCTTATTTAATTAACATTCAATTAATTATTAATTCAATCCAAGTCTAAAATATCTCTTTACTTCAAACTCATAATCTTAATCCTTACATCAGTCCATAATTCTAGGTTGCCTTTAATCCAATACATGAAATTTTAAATTTTATTTTTCAATCTTATTCTAGCTTTCCTCTTATGCCAGGCAGGTTTCCATAGCAAAGCTTCCCTTCCAGGTGATGAATATCTTTTTGTTGCTTGTAGTGTCATTTGATTCGATGAAAACCATCTTGGTTTCTGCATTGGCCCTCTGTTTCTCTTGTCCATAAAGCCTTGTTGCTTCAGAAGTTCAAAACTCAGTCTTTGCTTTTCCTGGTCTTCAAAGCCATAGGTAGACTGCTTATAGGGCAAGATAAAATTCTCTTTATTCTCAGTTAAGTCCTCTTCTTATATAATCTGTTTTGTAGAGTAGTCAGGTGTAACATGAGAGTCAGTTTTAAGGTTTAAAGTAGGAGTTCTGGCTCTTAATTTTGTAGCAAACTCTTTTATTGTAGTACATATTTCTTCTTTAGCCTCATAGATCTTTTCCAGTATAAGTTTACAGTTTAAATGTATTGAGGCTTCTCCATTTTAACAATAGTTGAAGAGAAATCCTTTTTTCTTTTTCTTTTCTTTTTTTCTTTTTTAGTAGAGGCTACAGTTGAGAAGTATCCACCCCCACAAATCCCACAGCTGGCTCAAATTATCTTTTCTCTTGAAAAATATGTTTGAAGGCCAAAACCATCTCATCTCCAAATAGTCAAAATTCCAATATTAACTTTTGACCAGTAGATGTCCTCAGTGAGCTAAAAAGACTTTTTCAAATGCCATTTTTTTCCTTTTTTCTATTTTTTAAAGAAAGAATGGAAAAAGAAATACTCTACCAATACCGCTCCCCCCCCCCAAAAAAACATTTTTTTCTGTACCTCAATGTGAATAGAGATAAAATATAGTCTTTAAAAAGGTTTTAATCTGTCCTTTTGTAAAACGCCTTTGTTCCCACACATACAAAAGCCGCTTTTTCCAGACGGGGAAATAATTCCAAGAAAGCTTTTGCAGGGAAAGACAACACAGGGTGAAGAGAGGAACAAAAAGGGTCTCACCCAGATCATCTGCGGTGGGTCTATTGTGCTTAGGTGTCAGTGTGACTTTCAGCTGGTGCAGCAAGGTGATCTGCCATCTTGCAGGCTGATCTTTGCTCCGTCAACCCTAAGGAGATAGCTGGAGACACGGGGGAAGCTGCCGCCCTCCTCTATCTACCAGCAAGCCTCCTCCTCGGTGGTCGCCCCTCCAGGGTGACTTTTGACCCCCTAGGGGGTCTACCGGCAAAGGAAACTCCGGTCAGTGCAGAGAGCAGTCTCCAAGCACGTCCGGCATTGCTGCGTCCCGGAACCGGAAGTCTGCACCCTCATTGTCATCTTGAATAAGGCCCACTACTGTTGTATCATCCACACACTTCACAATATGGTTAGTGGCAAACCTTACACAACAGTCATAGGTCAACAGGGTGAACAGCAGCGGACTTAGGATGCAACCCTGAGGAGAACCTGTGCTCAAGAAAATGATGTTAGAAATATTAGTCCCAACTCACACATACTGGGGCCTATCAATAAGAAAATCAAGAATCCAGTTTCACAAAGGAGTATTAAAGCCTAAAAGGCCCAGTTTGTCTACTAGATGCTGAGGAACAATTGTATTAAATGCCAAACTGAAGTCGACAAACAGCATTCGCACATGAGTATTTCTTTCCTCTAAGTGCTCCAAGCTCAGGTGGAGAACAGAAGAAATAGCATCCTCTGTAGAACGATTTGGAAGGAAAGCAACTGAAGTGAGTCAAATGCTGGTGGAAGGCTAGATACTATAATGTCCTTTATCAGCCTCTCAAAGCATTTCATAATGATGGATGCAAATACAAACGGATGGTAATCATTGAGACTAATCATTGAGACCCATCTCAATGACTATCTAGAAAGGTTATATATGAGAATGGAATTCTGGACTACCAGGTATCAAGAAGGATGAATTTTTTTCTTCTTTTTCTCTAGACCTTGCGAGCAGCTGGGAAAACATACATGATTTTTTTTGTGGTGATCATATTCTTGGGCTCTTTCTATCTCATCAATTTAATCCTGGCTGTGGTGGCAATGGCCTATGCAGAGCAGAATGAAGCCACCTTACAGGAAGAAAAAGAAAAAGAAGCAGAGTTCCAGAAGATGGTGGAACAGCTGAAAAAGCATCAGGAGGAGCAACAAAGACTGGTCAGAACCTTTTTTATTTATGTCGGTTTGATTTATCCAGTTTCAGAAGGTTTAAGTATATACAATTCTCATTCCTCAAGGGATTCAAGGCAACTTTGATAGTTCAACTTCATTTTGGATGTCAGGGAGAGGACACCTCCACATAAACAGTTTGCAGCAGCTCTGGAATCAGCTTAGGACTCACACAATATTACCTACTTTGGGGATTTGGCAATAGTGCAGTGATGCAGTGCCAATTTATAAGAAATCATAGCAAAGCTTTTTTTTATTTTTGAATCACTGAGCCTCTGCAGTTGTAGTGGTAGAAGAGATGGTGATAAATTTCTTTTCCCACAGTTTTCAGCAACTACTTCATTTTGAAAATCTCCTTCAACACAGGAGATTTGTGGCAATTGCAGGAATGCGGTTAACTTGCCTGGTTATATAGATAGCAGTTCCAGAGGAGGTGGACTTAACTCAGTCTGCTTACCTCCAAAATCTAACATGTTACTTACTTTTTAAAGAAAACCTCAGCAGCAAATTGGAGCCCCTTTTAGCCCCTAGCTCTACCTGCAAATAATCCCATCCCTGAAAATAGCAACTTCAGGAATTTATTTCTATCAGAATCCTATCAGAGACTAGTTTGAAAAACTTCTCTTTAGCCTCATGTTGATCCCTGAGAAGGTTCATCCCACTAAAACTGGCAGGTCAACCTACTGTGTATAAATAGGCAGCGAATCCCACACTCACTTGTGCTAATGATAGTTGGGTAATAAAATATCTGCAGGCAAAGAACCAAGCTCAGACAGTACCAAGAATTCCACAGGGTTTACTAGTATTTCTAACCAAATTCTAATCTGACCAATGATTAGTTGAATACTGCATTTTTAAAAGTGATTTAATCACTTCTATTAGCTTGAAAAAAATTCTCTCTCTCTCTCTCTGTGTAATTTTATTGAACTATTATTTGGTATAAAATGAATAGATTAATTTTAAAAAAAGAAGGGTCAGTGCTGCTGGAATTCTTAATTTTCTTTTTACGTTATTATTTGGCTTGCTGATTATTTCAAGTCATTATGGTTCTTTTTATGTTATTATTTGGCTTGCTGATTATTTCAAGTCATTATGGTTGGTTGCACAGTCAATCAGATATTTATCTCGCATTTTTATCCACATATCAAGTCCTTCCAAGGACTGGAATAGGCAGATGTTGCTGTTTGATGGTGTTATAGGTATTGTCACAGGATGTAACTGTTCCAAGTAAAGCTGCCTTTAGCAATTGTCAATGCCAGTAGTGTTCAAGGGCTGCTCCAGATGTTTTGGGATTGTATCCAAGGTGCCTATCACTATTGGTACTATTCTTGCTTTATTTTTTGCCATAGTCGTTCTACTTCTATTTGCAAGTCTTTGTGTTTTTGTTATTTTCTCCAGTTCTTTGAAGAGCCCTAATGGCACAATAGTTAGAATGCTGTATTGCAGGCTAACTCTGCCCATAGTTTGGTGTTTGATCATGACAGGCTTGAGGTTGACTCAGGCTTCCATCCTTCCCAGGTTGGTAAAATAAGGATCCAAATTGTTGGGGGCAACATGCTGATGTTGTACACTGCTCCGATAGTGCTGTAAAGCACTGTGGAGCGGTATATAAGTCTAAGTGCTATTTCTATTGCTTTCTATACTATTCTGCTGTCTCCAGGTACTGCCATGTCCATTTCAGACTTTTTTTGTCTTTCTTATAGTTGTTAAGTCTTGGATGTTACACAGTAGGTGCTTGTCTGTCTGAATTCTACAGTCCCAGAGCACTTCATTTTCTAAGACTTTGACTATTTTGTGGTCCCACCAGTTCTTGCTTGCAAGAAAATAGCATTTCTTGCAGATATCCCAATGCACCATTGTTGCTACTTTGTTGTGCCATTTTTGGGGTATTATTATTTTAGTACAAAATCTGTGAGAAATTGATATTTGTATCACACACACACATCCTTAAAATTGCAAACTCCCTCCTCCAGCCATTGCTACCTTAGAGTTTTAAACATCAACTGTGAGCCAGCAATTTGCTTGCTATTTCATTCCTGAGCAGTGACATAGCCTCTCAGACTCCTTGCCAGATTTACTGACAGGATTGCCAACAGGACTGGCTTCTTGGAGCTGCTTAAATAGAACACATGTAGGTAATATTTTTTATCCCTTCAACAAATTTCTTGGATAAATATTCAACATAACATTCTAAAGAACATAGAATGGAGTGCTGGTAATCCTCATTTAGCGACTGCCTTGCACATCAACTGTTCACAATTACAATTACTGATGACCAGTCCTTGCATTTACAACTTTCACAAAAACCATAAAGCAAAGGAAAACTGAAGATAAGCTCAGTCATGATTTTACTTGCAGCTGCTTTGCTTAACAATAATCATAGACTATCAGCCATTCTCTGATATCTATGACAACAAAGCACTGCAATCTCAGCTCAATCTATCAACAATATAACTCATGCCAAACTATCAACAACATCAGACATTACTGCTTATCTTCAGGCAGTGTTCACTTTCTGTTGACAGGCCCCTGCAGCCTGCCCAAGGCATCTCCATGTTGCACCAGGCCTTTGTTCTTGAAACAGGTTTGGAGAATATTCTTCTATAGCTTTCACAATCTCCAAAACCTCATGAAAGTACACCCCATTTTTGCATGATTTCCAGAGACTCTGGAGACTATGCAAGAGCACAGCTTTCTCATTAATTTCCAGAGAGTCCAGAGGACACAGAAAGCACACCCCATTTTTGCATGGCCTCTGAAAAGAACAAAGTATCCTTTTGAGAATAGTTGTTGCTGGGTTTTGGTGACTGCTGGCATGTCAGCTTTGATAATGTGTGTCATAGGTTTACCATCACTACCTTAGAGTATAGAAGGGGCATTGTCTTATCTGAACGCCTTTTCTCAGCACGGAGATGGAGAATCCACCAATGGGTTTGCTCTGTCTTCCTGCTCTTGAGACCAAGTCAGCCAAACTTGTCATGCCCCCTGCTGCTAGGAGAACCCAGTCTTGATGAGGGCAAAAGCGGCTGACGACAGTCCGAGGTGTTGGGTCTCAGATCCCTAACCCTGGCCAAACTGACCCTAAGGGTGGGAGTGGATTCTCCATCTCCGTGCTGAAAAAAGGCATTCAGGTAAGACAACGCCCCTTCTCCAGGACAGGAGATGGAGAATCCAAAGCCTCACTGTCCCAATGGGAGGGAAACAGATAAGGCCGGGCCCGCATCCCCAGACACCACTTGTTGAAGGACCCTCCGACCAAAGGAGGCATCTGTGGAAGCAAAGCAGTCAATCTTGTAATGACAAACAAACGGGGAGCGCAAAGACCATGTCGCAGCCCTGCAAATCTCCTCGATGGACGCCTGAGTGGCCCATGCTGCAGATGTTGCAGCGCTGCGAGTGGAATGAGCTGTGATACGACTTGGAGTCAGCAGGGAAAACAACTGTTACGCCTCCGCAATACAAGCCCTGATCCACCTGCCTATAGTGGAGGCAGAGACCTTCTGTCCCAGAGAGGTAGGGTGGAAGGAAATGAAGAGGGCCTCGGACTTGCGAAAGGATGCCGTTTGCTTGATGTATTGACGTAGTGCCCTATGTATGTCCAGAGTGTGCCACTGCCGCTCCAAGTCATGGGAAGGATTAGGACAAAAATCCGGCAAAACAATCTCCTGGGCCCTATGAAAAAGGGAGTTGACCTTGGGCACGAAAGTGGGGTCCAATCGAAGGACTACCCGGTCCCGGTGGAAGATACAGAGGTTGTCCCTGACTGACAGTGCCGCGAGCTCAGAAATGTGCCTGGCTGACGTGATAGCGATCAGGAAGGCGACCTTGTGGGACAAGGACCGTAGAGCACAAGTTGTGATAGGCTCAAACGGCAGTCTGGCGAGAGCCCGTAGGACCCGAGGTAATTCGTGGTACCTATGTACCACGAGTGGTTTCGTGTTGGTGGCGCCCTTGAGAAAAGCGTGTATCCTAGGAAGCTGGGCCAAAGGGACTGAATCGGCACAGGTAAGCAAGGTGTTATGGTTCCGGCTAATGAAACACTTCAAAGAACTTCCAGGCATTGATTTTCCTAAAAGTATTGTTACAAAATGTCGGCACAGGCATAACGAAGGTATGCTAAGATCTAAATTCTCTTCCTCTGAGCAGTTAAATTATCAGCATGTTCCCTCCCTAAATTAGCTGTCATATATCACGTTATCCAATTAGTGTGAAGGTCAAAGGTTTACTTCCTCTCTCTTTCCCGGGCTTTTCCCTCCACCCTCTTCTGCTCTGCATTAACTCTAAAAATACCAGACAGTTCTGCATATTGTCAAAGCAAGAATATACAGTATTTGCAGCGTTGACACAAGGTTGATAGTGCCGCAACCTGCCTTCGGATGGTATTAGGGGCCAAGCCCTTATCAAGTCCATCGAGGAGGTATTCTAAGATCTGAGGAATTATCAATTCCAAAGTTCCAGTTGCCACCTTCCGCACCAATGGCAAAAATTCCTCCATGTGGAGTCATAGGTGCGATTGGTCGCTGGCCTTCGAGAGGCCTGGATCATGGAAATCGCTCTTGCCGAGAACGATTCCTGGGTCATGATCTGGCGTTCAAGTGCCAGGCAGCTAACTCTAGCCACTGGGGTTCCGGGTGTCGTAGAACCCCCTGGTGGAGAGACACGCAATCTGGCGGGATTTTCCATGGGGGAGAGAGGGAGAGGATCACCAGATCGGCAAACCAGGGTCTCCAAGGCCAGTACGGGGCCACGAAGATTACCTCCGCTCGTTCCTGCGGCATTTTGCGAATGACCGCCGGAATCAATGGGAGAGGGGGAAATGCGTAGAGCAGACCCTTCGGCCATGGGACTCGAAGGGCATCCACCCCCTCCGCCCCCGGGGATGGAAACCGGGAAAAGAATCTTGAGAGTTGGGTGTTCGCCGGCAAAGTGAACAAATCGAGGACTGGTTGGCCGAACCTTTGTGACATCTCTACGAAGAGACCCGGATGCAAACACCATTCGGAGTGATCCACGGTCGACCTGCTCAGGAAGTCCGCTCGCCGGTTCGCCTCCCCCGAAATGTGCTCAGCCCTGAGGGAGGAAAGGTTGGACTCTGCCCAGGAGCCTTACTTTCAGGGAAACACAGTAGTAACTTGGCTGTCCTGTTGGCTGGGGACAAATGGAAATTGCTGGCCAACATAACTGAAGGGCACCAAATAGTAGAAGATTCTAAAAAAGTATCATAAGTAAGATAAAACTATTGTCTCCAAAACTGGGCCTTACCTTGGTATTGAAACCAATTGACCACCAAACAAGGTGTAAAACAAAAAGATATAAGGGCCCTCAAGGCCTTGATCACAGTTTTACAGTAGTTTTTATAGTCAAAGGTGAATTACATACACCCCTTTGCCCTCCCCCAATAATACATGCATAACATATAACATTGATTGGTTACCTGGATTGCAGCCCCCTAAAGCTTTCTCACTTGCTATGCAAAATAGCTAAATGTCACGCCACCTGTTGCCCACCTCAGGTCATGGGTATCTTGCAAAGTTTCAAGTTTCCTGTTCCAGCTATGTGGTTTTGGGTTTTCTTGTAAGTGAGCTATTCATGTACCCAACATCCTGGCTAAGTGGTTTCTAAGTGATTCTGTCTCACTTCATTGCCCCTGCAGCCCCCCTCCCACCGCAGCCCCCCTTGCAATGCTATCAAGTATGTCAACTGTTAGCAAGCTTGTACTGCAAATCCCCTAGTAAGCAGAAAGAAAAAGTTGTTTAATTGTTTAAGAGTAAATGTTTCTCTCAGAATTCATCTTCCTCACTCTCATGTTCATCACACCCGTACCTGGGTCCTATCTCCACATATGATCCTTCTTCTGATCCCCAGGGCCCCATCTGTATGTATATTCTTTCATATGATCCTTCAAATACATACCATATAAGTTCAAAATTCAAGAGAAAAGTTAGCAAATCACCATTTCAGTAATATCAACAGCCTTTTCCTGATTTTCTTATGCTAAATCTTTTATATTTTTGTAGCTTCAAGCACAAGCAGCAAATAACAGCTCTGCAGAAAGTATTATAGTGGAAAAAAAGAAAAAAGGAGAATCAGATGAAAAGGCTCAGAGTGATCAAGAGGAACCAAATGATTGCAATGGTCGGGTCATCCCACGTTTGGTGTTGGAGAGAACAGCTACAATAGATGAGGTATGTTCTTCATCAACCAGGAACCAAAGATAAAAACATAAACTACACTGCTTGCTGCCCGTTCAATAGTTATAGAAATTCTCATTAGAACTGTATTGATACAAGCTGATGTGTGGATGCTTCTAGAAAAGATTAGCTATAGACTGTAAGTGGCCAACTTTATGGTTTTCACAAGAGGCCCAGGCAGCAAATGTTTATGACACTGCTGGACTAAAAATGAAGGCTGTATTCTGAATTACAGTTAGTCCGTATTGCTGATCCCAAAAAATAGACAACTCTCATAGTTACAGACTTCCACATGTGTTTGAAAGAACTAAAATCTTGGCCCATTGGACCTTCCCTCTCTCCTCCCTTCATATTTTTGCATGTCTGATGCTAGAGAACATTATATGAACAGATTAGTCCAACATATGAAGAGTGTTAGCCAATTGTCCAAATATGAGATGAGTCCATCAAACAGGACTGTAAGGTTACAATCCCTGTTTCATTTTCTGTATTTCTATCCCAGTGTAACTAAAAATCACCAAGAAACGCTGATTAACGAACATAGTTGTGAAAGCAGAAGGGTGTTGGTAGGAGAGAAAAGTTTGTAGTAAAGATAGCTTTTCTGTTGAGTCTGAGAGCAGTAAATATTACCCCATCCAAGTCCGGTTTCATATTTTCAGAAGTCAGCTGAATTGTTTTGGTGCTTGAGGCAGAAAGTGTCTTTGCATCTGGCACTGAAAATATAGCAATAATAAATTTAATAATCAATAATTAACTAACTGAATGTGTAGTCACTTGATATGGCTTAGTCCTAGCAAACCCTGACAGTGAAATTGTTACAGAATTCAAGGAGTATCAAGAATAATTTTTTACTGGTACAAAGTGAGTTCCTTGGTTATAGTTATTTTTCAACTTTAACCTCACTCTCACTCTTTCTTTAACTAGAGTCATATCATAGCAAACAGCTTGAATTCCTTCCTCATTACATCTCTAGTTCAAGTGCCACTTCAGATTCTAATGTACTGGACATAGAGGCTTTTTTATTGGCACTGTTTTTTTTAATCTTGGATCTCATTTTTTATTACAGTCAAGTCCAAGGGAAGAACATGAGAAATCTGATCAAAACCATTTGTGTGTAGATGGTGTTGAGGGGAAGGGCTTGGAGAAGCGAGTAGGGAGTGCAGTCAGTGTGGTCTCCAGTACTCTTGAAGGTAAATGCCTTGACTTTAGAAGAAACTAGATTACTTTTGAATTTAAAAAACAGCTATTTTTATAATATTTCCATATTTAGTGTGTTGAAGATTGCTCTGAAATATAGTATAAGAGTTGAAGAACATTATTTGATAAACACTATAATGTTTAGCAGAAATCATAGAAATTGAGGACCTGCTATTTTATCTAGTAAGCAGTGAAAAAGTAGCTTTAGAAACATTTAACATGCTGATGAAAGAGTGTTTTGAAAGAGAATAGCTCTCTGCCATAAGTCTTATGCCTTTTACAATAATCTTCTATAATAGAAGAATGTGTCTCTCTTGTATATTATACAATTTCCACACATGATAATACAGTATTAAAAAATAAAATGGTTGTAGTTCTATTGGTTGTTTTGTGCAATAATCCCACAACCCCAGCCCAGCATAATGAGGAGATTAAAAAATTACATTCCAGCAGAGTTGATAAGCAAATTCCAATAATTTCCACACCAAGATGAGTGGAGATTACAGTATAGAAGTTGTAATCTGATACTGTTTTAGGAGCCAGTTTGAGGAACAATGCATCAATCAATCACTCTCACTGATTAATTAGTTGGTTAAAGTTAGCACTTTTAGTAATTCATGATTTACCTCTAGCAGAAGTGATTTTGTTGTAGATATCCCTTTTGATTTTTGTTTTTAGAACTGGAAGAGGCACACCAGAAATGCCCACCATGGTGGTATAAGTTTGCTCACACTGTATTAATATGGAACTGTTGCCCACCTTGGGTGAAGCTGAAGCACATTGTTAAGCTCTTTGTCATGGATCCTTTTGTTGATTTGGGGATCACCATCTGCATTGTCCTCAATACTGTCTTCATGGCCATGGAACACTACCCAATGACCGAAGAGTTCAACAGTGTATTGAATGTGGGCAATCTGGTAGGAGAACTGCTCTTCATTCTTTGATTTGATAGTGTGACAACTCTGAGATGCTTGCAAGAGAGAAATGACCACTAATCCCACAATAATCTAATATTTGGCAAGATGGACACCTCTATTATATCAGATATCTCTGATATATATTTTTGATGCCTAAAACAATTGGTACACCTGTATCCTCCATGATGCTTGTTTGTCAGCCTTACTATTGATCATTTTCATATTGTTTGAGAATGAATAGCAAATTGCATTGACATCTTCTTAAAAATTGTTTTCTTTTGTCTTAATTTTGATCATAATTAATTGGTTGGCAGTGAGAGGGAGTAAGACGTTTCATTATATTAATTACATTTTATTAATCTACATGCAGCACTGTTTTCTCGGATCCCAGCTCTATCTTAAAGTTGCCAAGTTTGAGAAATACTGGTGTACAACCTTCCCCAGACAAAAACAAATGTACAGTATTTTGTGGAGATTTATCTAACAAAAATGATTCAGAATAACATTTGGGAAATCTGCATTTTAAAACAATGTTCACATATATGTCACCTGTGTGTGTGTGTGTACACACAGGTGACACAGGAGATGGATCAAATAGGGAGAGAATTATATGCTGGGAGTTAAGGGAAGGCAATGAAATCTCATGGGTAAAGGTATAGCAGGTATAGAAGGTATAGCAGGAACAGTGGGCAGGCTACTCTTGAGCAATGAAGTCTTAGTGTTTAGTACCAATTTGATGCTTCACCTGCCTGGACAATTTGCCAGGTCATTGGGCCTTAGGTGTGCAGCTGCTGCTACTTAATTCCTGGTTGCCTACCTGCCTCATTTGTGGATGAAAGATCTTAGTATATATTGTTGAGATCTGGCAGGACATAGGGGAAGTGCCTCTCTAGGAAATATGGCTATTCATATTCACAATCTGAGCCATGATCTAAGGACAGGGGTGCGGGAGTGGCTTTAATTATCCAAGTGACTCTCTGCAGATAACCAGATGCAAGTCCCTATATCAGCGATGGAGAACCTTTTAGAGTCCGAGTGCCCAAACTGCAATGCAAAACCCACTTATGCATTATCAGGTGCTGGGTGGATGTGGCCCATTGGCTAGGTGTGGCCCATTGGCTGGGTGTGGCTGCAGTGGTAATGGCAGACTGGGTGGGACTAAAAAGTTCAATCAATCAATTCCAACTTTGCAAGATCTTTTTTTTCTCGCAAGAAGTTGAAATTGATTGATTGAACCTTTTTTTTTTTTGCACACGGCGGTGGAGGCCTAAAGCAAAAAGGTTTTATAAAACCCAGCTGAAGGCCTAGGACTGGGCGACGGCATGCGTGCCCACAGAGAGGGCTCTGAGTGCCACCTCTGGCACCCGTGCCATAGGTTATCCACCACTGCCCTATATTCTGAAGTTGGATTCTAAGGATGAGATGGAATTGTTGTAACTTTGTCAACCTCCCTGCAGTATAACTAACTTCTTACCCTGAGGTAGATGCCTTAGTTAGGTTGTTGGTGGAGTTTGCCAGGCTTACAAACTTGGGGGACTTTAAGCTGTCTTCTTTGGGCATGGAAACAAAAGTGGCTCAGGAGTTCATGGCCGCCATGGCAGCCATAGCCCTGATCAAGGTCACTGAGGTCCTGGCATACATAGAAAGAGGAGGGGTCAAAACCAGGTTTGGAATTGGTGGACATGAATATTTTCTCTTATCATAGATGGATCACTTTGTATTAGTCTTGGAATTTTACTTGCCTATCCTCTGCTGTAATGGTATGTGGGAATGATCCTGGGAAACAAGGGAAAGAGATGCTGCCTAGAGAAAAATCAAATAAAAGTTGAGGGGCACCTACAGCTGAATAACAGGCAGAGAAAGAAACTTAGAAAGGAATCATCTAACTTATCAGATGGTAAAAAGAGATGGTGGGAGATCTGTATTTTCAGTTTGCAAGATTTTATTAATGTAGCCCTACAATAAAACAGAATTAAACTTCTTGTCGAATTTCCTGTTTGATCTATCTGGGAGGCTGTCATCTGATCTATCTGGGAGGCTGACATATTATGCTAGGCTATGTTTAATGGATCCTGTTGTCCTGAGCCTGCTGGAGTGGTGAGCAGGCTCAGAAATGTTGTAAATGGTCCCGGGCAAACCAAAAGCTGCCGGGGACCAGACTGGTCGGCGCCAGCCTTGTGCGCATGCGCAAGGCGCGAAAACGGCCAGTTCCTATTGGTTAACACTGTCTGGGTTTAGGGCCCTATAAAAGGCCTGCGTGCCTTTTGTTGCTTGCTTGGTTGTAGGAGAAGAGTAATAAAGAACTTGTTTGTTCACCATGTGTCTTTGTCAATTGCCAACGAACGGAATACACAACAGATCCAACCCAGGCACCTGATGGACCCAGATAGGATTTAGAGGGAGCTTGTGGTTTTACCTATAATTGATATCCTGGTCCATAATTTGGGCAGAGAGAAAACCTCTGCAGTGACCTCTGGTACCTCCCTCTCTGGAAAACTGTTTTCCGCTGAAAATATATGAACTGCTTACTCTTGTTAATTGTAGTGTACAGAAAGTGATTTAGGACTATATTTTTAATTTAATATTTTTCACTGGAATGCTTTCCTCTCTTCCCATTTTTAGCAGTCAAGTTTATATATTCCTTTTTTTCTGCAGGTATTCACAGGGATATTCACCGCTGAGATGGTGCTTAAACTGATTGCTCTAGATCCTTATGAATACTTCCAGCAAGGATGGAACATCTTTGACAGCATAATTGTTACTCTCAGCTTAGTTGAGCTTGGTCTTGCCAACGTTCAAGGTCTGTCTGTACTACGATCCTTTCGTCTGGTAAGTGACCTTATGGAAAGTTTTCTGCAGTTTCAATATTTGATACCACACCACTGAGAGCAAAAGCCCTTCTTGGCATGGGACCAGATCATCTAAAACAAGGCTTTTCAACCAGTGGTACGGGTACCACCTGTGGTACATTGGCACCTGGCAGGTGGTACGCGACCATCCTAGAAACGTGGTAGTGGGGGACGGGAATGAGCTGAACTGGTGGCAGCACCGCACAAGCCTGAGCGAGAGATGGCTGGAACTGCAGGGCTGTCAGGGCTCAGTGGAAGTGCCAAGATCAGCGCTTCTTTGGGGCTGTCAGGGCTCAGTGGAAGCTCCAAGATCAGCGCCAGGCTCCAGCTGGAGCTTGGCGCTGATCCTGGCGCTTCTGAGCCCAGAAGAAGTGCCGATCAACTGGATGTTGCAGCATCTCCAGGGTTTTGTGATTTACATTCAGATGCTTGGCAACTGATTCATATTTATAATGGTCACAGTGTCCCAGGGTCATGTGAAGTGACCAAAACCTACTGCAGCCACCCAGCAGACAGGAGGAATAAAAACCAAACACCCCACCCCCGCTGCCAATCCTCAACAGAAATGCTCACAACAATGAAAACCTCGGACAGGAGGAAGAGCGCCGCCGGGTGGGCAGGCAGGTGTCTTGCTCGGCTGTGGCTTGGGGGGCACTTTTTTCAGTGCCATTGTAACTTCGAACAGTCACTAAGCGAACTGTTGTAAGTCGAGGACTACCTGTACTTCATCACTTTTTTCCTTTTGGGGGGGGTCATCAAGTTTTTGACACCTTGCTAGGCGACTGGTGGTACTTGGATGTTGCCATATCCTAAAAGAGGTACAATGGGTGAAAAGGTTGAAAAGCCCTGATTTAAAAGACCACCTCTCCTGGTGGGTACCATAGGTCAAGGACTTTTATTTGATGGGTCCCAGGAGATGTGCCTTCTCTTCTCTGATACCCATTTTATGCAACATTCTTCCCTTCACGCCTTTTGGTATTCAGAAAAGTATTCAGGTGTTGGCCATGTTGTGAGGCTTGAGGCTCTCAGGTGACTAGGTACCTGCTCAGAGAGGTTCCATTATTAAGGCGGCCATTTTTATCCTCCCTCTCCTGTTGTTTGTATTGTACATTTTTGTTGTTTTTATTTATTGTTCCTATTGATTAGTGAGATAGGCAGCTATATAAATTTGATTGATGATAAAATAAAATAAAACTTTTTTCCCTCCCTTTAGTAGATTAGATAGGGTTATGATGTTTGCTGCAAATCGGGAAACAATATCTTCAGACCTGCTTAGCAGTGCAGAAAATTAAATTGTTAGTGTGAAAATTGGGAAATGATTGCCTGATGATAATCCCTTGGCTTGCATTATACTAATTGCATGACTGTTGTTACTGGCGCACTGCTGGAAATTGCAAACCATCTGCCATTACAGTAATAATGGCTTAACAACAGTTCTCCAAGCATGGTCTGGGAACCCTTGCCAAAGGGTTATAATAAATATATTAAAATTTCTCAGTTCTAAATTCTAATACAGTAAATACAGTATCAATAGATCCAATCCACACAAACCAAAATTCTTTGGATTCTTGGTTCTTTTTAAATATGTAAAGTGGGGGGGGGGGGGTTTAACCAAAATATTTGAGAACTACTGGCTTAACTACAATACAGATTTAGCCTTCTAAATTTCTTGAATACATTTTTTTCATAAGAAAACAATTTCCAGCCCTTGTGGAGCTAGCAGAGCGTATATGTGCATACATACACATGCATGTAAAAAAAATGAGCAACACAAATAAATATGCATCATGTTTTTTTAACTCTCCCTTCATAGCAATGCATCACTGCAATTTTTGCTGCCATTTTATCAAAAACAGCTTACAGCTTCTTCTCAGCTTTTTCAAGATATAGTGATTTGGGGAGGAATGCTTCCCCATGGAAAGCCACCTAGGAAGCCTATAAGGATTACATGCAACACATGTAGAAATGGCCCTTCTGTGTTGTATATGGAAACAAGAAAAAAAATAGCAAAAAGTTGTTATGAGTGGAAAATCTCAAGTCTAAAATGGAAGCAGAAGCTTGTGATTTCAAAATATGTAACTTTAATGAACTAGAGATGCCTGTATTATTTTGGCTAAAAGCACTATTCCATAAATTAATCATGATCCATCTTTCTTTTTCAGATGAGAGTTTTCAAGCTTGCCAAATCTTGGCCAACCCTCAATATGCTAATCAAAATCATTGGCAACTCAGTAGGTGCCTTGGGAAACCTCACTCTAGTCCTCGCCATCATAGTTTTCATCTTCGCTGTGGTGGGCATGCAGCTATTTGGGAAGAGCTACAAAGAATGTGTCTGTAAAATTTCCAGCGACTGTGAGCTGCCACGCTGGCACATGCATGACTTCTTTCACGCCTTTCTTATTGTTTTCCGAATCCTCTGTGGAGAATGGATTGAGACTATGTGGGATTGCATGGAAGTGGCTGGACAGCCCATGTGCCTCATTGTTTTTCTGATGGTCATGGTCATCGGGAACTTAGTGGTGAGTAACAGGAATATAAGACTGAGGAAATACAATAGAGCATGTGTGATGTTTTTTTACTTTTAATTTTGTGAAAGTCACAGAGGTATGTGACAAAGACTCACTAATGTTACTTAGAAGGGATTCAGTTGTGTGTGTGTTTGTTAAAAGACTTGGAATGTTACTTAATGGCAGAAAGGTGTGCCTTAAAATGTTTATTTTGTCCTTACATTTCCTATTTTAGAAAAGACAAAATAATGCTGCTGAAAATTAGTTATTTGATATTGGATTTCAGTGTTATGCTCTCCTTGATGGAAACCTCAAGAGACTGCAAAAATAGGCCACAAGTTGCCAATTGCTGCACCTTTAAAAAAAATTCATCAGATTTTTTTTCAGTTTTGTTTGTAAAATATATTATTTCTTTAAACTCCCTCTTTAGATTTTATATATATATAAAATCTACACACACACACACACACACACACACACAAAGACACATATATATTGTACATCTTGGCACTAACGATATGTCCAAAAAGATGTACTCTCTCTGCAGAATGATTTCCAGAGCTTGGGGCAGGAACTTAGCAGAATAGGCTGTAGGCTTACATTTTCAGAGGTTTTACCAGTGTTTAAGGAGCAAAATGGAAAAGGCCAGCGCATAGCAGAATTCAATATGTGGCTAAAGGAATGGTGTAAAGGGGAAGGCTTTGGATATATTAGTCACGATGTCTGTAGCTGGTCCAATGAAAAGATGTACAAAAGAGATGGTTTGCATCCATCAAAGAAAGGGACTGAGTTACTCAGCTATAAATTCACAGATTTTCTGGAGGAAAATTTAAAATAAACAGCGGGGACAGTGAGTTAATTGATACAGAACATCCCTGTCCCCGACAATCTAAAATTATAGGGCTATCAGTGCATGTAACATACATTTGTGTGTGGACAAGAATATCAACCTTGCTGTCAAGCAAAATCAAGCTTCTAATAGCGAGTGCCACACAAAGTGCACTAACCAAATAGGTGGTAAGACAATAGGGGAACTCAGGCACCACACAGGATATGTAGAAAGTAAACACAGGGTCAGTCATAAAGGACTCAAATGTCTATACACCAATGCACAGAGTATGAACAGCAAACAGGGCGAACTAGAAATTCAGGTTAATAATGAGGGCAGATATGATATTGTTGCCATTACGGAAACATGATGGGATGAAACCCACAAAGGGAACACACAGCTAGAGGGATTTAAATTATTTAAAAGAAACAGACCAAATAAAAGAGGAGGTGGAGTTGCTCTCTATATAAGAAATAACTACATCTCTACAGAAATAACACAACAATGATGAAAACTGTCTTGAATGCATTTGGGTCAATATAAAAGGGGGGGGGAATGACATTGCCATAGGTGTATAATATAAGCCACCCAACCAAACAGAGGAAATAGATGAACTTTTTTATAGTCAGCTAACTAAGGTATGTAGGAAGCACATCACAATAGTAATAGGGGACTTTAACTACCCTGACATCAACTGGGAGACAAACTCTGCACCAAGTGGAAGATCAAACAGATTCCTGACAAACCTAGCAGACAACTTTGTCTCCCAAAAAGTAGAGAAGGGAACTAGGGGATTAGCCATTTTGGATCTAATTCTCACTAACAGAGATGAAATGATAGAAGGTTTTGAAGCCACAGGAACCTTGGGAGGAAGTGATTATGCAATATTGGAATTCAACATTATGGAAGCACAAACAGTAGAATACAGTCAAACTAGAGTCTTAGACTTTAAGAGAGCTAATTTCAATAAACTTAGAGAGGGCTTGGGAAGGATTCCATGGATGAGAATCCTCAAGGGGAAAACAACTCAAGAAGCTTGGGAAATTTTGAAAAGCGAGATAATAGAAGCCCAGTCTAGCATAATACCAACAAAGAGGAAAAATAACAGCTCTCAAAAGAAACCAGCATGGCTGCATAAAAAACTCTCTGATAAATTGAAAGATAAAAAGGACAAGTATAGAAAGTGGAAAGAGGGGCACATAACTAAGTCAGAATATCAGCAAATAGCCCGAGCCTACAAAGATGAAGCGAGGAAAGCTAAGGCTCAAAATGAACTAAGGCTTGCAACCAAAGTCAAAAATAACAAAAAAAAAGCTTCTTTCAACATGTAAAAAACAAGAAAAGGTGAAGGAAATGATTGCATTCTTTGACCAAGTGACAAAATTAGTGGATCAGAGGAATGCTGTGGATATAATTTACTTGGACTTCAGTAAGGCATTTGATAAAGTAGATCACAACCTACTACTTGATAAGATAGAAAAATGTGGCTTAGACAGCATCACCACCAGATGGATTTGTAGCTGGCTGACCAGCCATACTCAGCATGTGGTCCTCAATGGAACTGCATCTACATGGAGGGAAGTGTGTAGGGGGGTGCCCCAGTGCTCTGTTCTGGGCCCAGTGCTCTTCAACATCTTCATCAATGATTTGGATGAGGGGATAAATGGGGAACTCATCAAATTTGCAGACAACACCAAGATGGCAGGAATAGCCAACACTCCAGAAGACAGACTTAAGATACAGGAGGATCTGGACAGACTTGAACACTGGGCACTATTCTAACAAAATGAAATTCAATGGTGAAAAAAGTAAGGTTCTACATTTAGGCAAGAAAAACCAAATGTACAGGTATAGTATAGGGGTACCTTGCTCAATAGTAGTAACTATGAGAGGGATCTCTGAGTCCTAAATATGAGCCAGTATGTGCTACAGCTGCCAAAAAAAGTCAACATAGTGCTAGGCTGCATTAACAGAGGGATAGAATCAAGATCACTACCACTTTACAATGCCTTGGTAAGACCACACTTGGAATACTGCATCCAGTTTTGGTCACCACGATGTAAAAAAGATGTTGAGACTCTAGAAAGAGTACAGAGAAGAGCAACAAAGATGATTAGGGGACTGGAGGCTAAAACATATAAGGAACAGTTGCTGGAATTGTGTGTGCATAGCTTAATGAAGAGAAGGATGAGGGGGGATATGATAGCTGCCACAAAGAAGAGGGAGTCAAGCTATTTTCCAAAGTGCCTGAGGGCAGGACAAAAAGCAACGGATGGAATCTAATCAAGGAGAGAAGCAACCTAGAACTAAGGAGAAACTTCCTGACAGTTAGAACAATTAACCAGTGGAACAACCTGCCTCCAGAAGCAGTGAATGCCCCAACACTGGAAGTTTTTAAGAAGAGACTGGACAGCCATTTGTCCGAAATGGTATAGGGTTTCCTGCCTGAGCAGGGGGTTGGACTAGATGACCTCCAAGGTACCTTCCAACTTTATATACATACATACATACATACATACATACATACATACATACATACACACACACAATATACAAACACATATTTTTTATATATATAAAAATCTTCTTTATTATTGTGTTTTTGAAAATTTACTAAATGAAAGTGGCTGGATAGCATAATGGCCTTTGAATTAGGAGACCAGGTTCAAATCCCAGCTAATATCTATTTACCAATAGGGGTTCTTGGGCGAAGACCCCCTAACACTTCATTCGGCTACCTCAAAATATGAGAGTGACATGAACTAGGAAAGTCATGCTAGCTGGGAAGTCACCCGGATTAACAAGGTCCATGATAGATGTTGAAGAACCAGGACAATCTAATGATAAGTGGGCTACTGGAACAAGCCATACATGGATGAGACAGAGAACCTGGAACTGATGGAATGCTACCACAACAGACCTACCCAGAAGGGATATATGAAGCGTATGAGGGAACTATGGATAGAAAGAAGATCTGTGTCCACACTGAGAAACAGCTAGTTACCCAATCCTTCAACATAGTGAAGAAAAATTGCTATCACAACTGGAGACAGACTAACTACACATTACATCCCATACTCAAGAAGATCTGGAAAAACAAGTGGATGTGCAGCCAACACCTGAAGCTGGAACATCATTATCACTCTCTCCATTACAGAGCAATAACCTAGTAACAGCAAAAGCACCAACAGCAAAAATTGAACAATAATAAAAGGAAATATGGATAGCACTGGCTACCAGGCTAAAGAGATACACTCGAGAAGCAGAGGCCAAGATTATAAATGGCCTGTTCTCCAAATAACCATCCAAGGTGTACTCCCAACTACAGTGCAGTGCAACAGCAGAGTTACCAACAGCATAAAGTAAACATATGAGAGAAAGAGAAGACACCTAACACCAGTGGAAAATGGCTACAGGACCTGAGAACAGACCACAGCAATATTCCAGAATGGGGTCAGTCATCAGTACAGTAGCAGACATCCACAGCAGGTTAAGAGCTAGACAGCACCTGACCCAGATATGATCCATATGTACTAGCTAAAGAAACTCACAACAATGCATGAACCTCTAGCAGCACACATGAATCAGTTATTAGTAGCAGGCTCCCACCAGATTGGCTACTGCAAGGAAGGACAGTATTGATCATGAAAGATCCCCACTAGGGAACAGCACCATTCAATTACCAGCTGATATTTGCCTTATTGCAACATGGAAAGTCCTATCAGACATCAGAGCTGTCAAGATACAGAACCATGGTTGGCCAGTACATGACCACAGCATCAGGAACTACACCAGAGGTTCAAAACATAAATTGCTCATAGATAGAGCAGTCACCCAAGACTTAAGGTCTAGACAGATTTGAGCATAGCCTGGATTGACTAGTCTATGACTGAATGCCACACACATGGTCTGTGAATACCTGACACTAAACAAAATCAACAGGACTATAAGGACGTACCTCAGCTAAGCCACCCAAGAAAGCAGAACTCTTGAAACAGGCATTGTCTCAAAAGGAACTTTTATTAGGAGCTAGTGACAGCAGGGAATCAAGGCGAGATCTGAGAGAAAAACCCATGAAGTAATACATTAAAAGCAACATTCAATACTCCTCGCCCCAAGGTCCCAGTGTTCATTTGAATCCTAGCCAATCCACAGGTGGCTTCATGTTTTGGTAACCAGTCTT